AACGTCTTGCATAACTTCACTTGAACACCCTATGACATGGGCATGCCAATGATTTTTGGTATGCACACACCAATGAGTTTATCAAACCATTAATATCTTCAACTCCAAGTTGTTGGGTTGGGTAGAATCTCTAGTGGTAGACTTGGGTCTTATGGATCTAGGGCTGTGGTGAAAGTTTTTTGGTTAGATATGAGTTTTCTCACTCAAGAGGNCTAAAATCAAGTATAGGGCTAATGGTAGCATTGCATTGCAAGACTTGCTGCCAAACAGTATACTCAACAAGAAGGCTTGGACTACTTTGAGACTTTCTATCTAGTAGCCAAATTCACCAGTGTCAAATGCCTCTTAGCTTTGGTTGCAATAAAGGGATGACATTTGTTTTAGTTGGATGTCCATAAAGCCTTCTTGCATGGGGATCTAAATCAAGAGGTTTATATGAAACTTTCTCATGATTTTGCACTATGAAGTCCTCAAGTCTGTCATTTAAANAACTACTCTATCGAATGCTAGTGAGCATAGAACAGTCTAGACTGATTTTTTAAGTTTAAAACCAACTAAAAAAACTTGTACTCTTAAGTACTAAAGGGTATTGCTCAAGAAGGGTCAGCTAATACCTTAATCTATGTTTTCAAAACACCAAACAATTTAGAAAATCTTTTCATTNTTAGGAGGAGAAAAAATGAAGTGGATCTTCCCTCACGATTATACACGTAGAGTGCACAACACTACCTAGAGGGAGTGAATATGTTTTTTAATTTTAGCATAATTGATTACCAACTGAAAACTAATCTACCACAATGACCTCTTCTCACTCAAATTTAACAATGAATAGTGAGAACTCATTTAATCACCACAAACCAACAAACCCATGACGATTGATATTAATTAATTGTTCAATTAATTCGTCAAACAATCAATCTCACGGCAATNCACTGTGAAGCTTGATCTTTTCCCTTCGGTGTCGCTTTCATATCTTCAACCTTGATAGCATCATGACCATGAAATATGTTGATATTTACAATGGATTCCACGAAATTAGCCGATTACAAATATATATCAAACAAAGTCTCTAAACCGTGGTTCTACAAGCTCTCTACTGTAGTCATTGGATATGGTTTCATTCAAATCCAAATCTGATTATTCTTTCTTCACCAAAAGGACATATACTTCATTCATTGTCATGTTGGTATATGTTGATGATGTAGNTTCAACCAATACCACGATTAGATGTTTATTTCTTTTGTAAATCTCTCCGTCGAAAATCTCTTCCTAACGTCTTGCATAACTTCTTGAACACCCTATGACACGATTCGTTTAGGTCACGAGAAATCATGGGCATGCCAATGATTTTTGGTATGCACACACCAATGAGTTTATCAAACCATTAATATCTTCAACTCCAAGTTGTTGGGTTGGGTAGAATCTCTAGTGGTAGACTCGGGTCTTATGGATCTAGGGCTGTGGTGAAAGTTTTTTGGTTAGATATGAGTTTTCTCACTCAAGAGGCTTACCCTAGCTAAAAAAATACTTTCCTTTTTTATAGGTTCGAAGTGATGGTAATCTTGATTAGCAAGAAAACTCAGATTCGCGAATGACAGCTCAATCGGTGGGAGAGAAGTTTTCCTTAGAATGAAATCATGTTTCAAACTTAATTGAGGAGTACGGACCACTCAAGCGACCATGNCTCTATTCTCTCATTTCTTCTTCAAATTTAATAATTAGGATTTTTGAATATACTAGTTGAATTACGCAAAGGTTTTAAAATTTAAGAGGGACATGAAGTATTTTTGAAGAGTTGAGGGGCACAGGGCCCCCCTTGGCCAAAAGATAGTTCTCCACTCCAATGTACTGCTCTATTTGATGCTCTTGTGTTGTAATCACTCAGAGGAGGTAAATGATAAGCAGAAGAGAATCGAGAGACAAAAGTCAAGAACAAGATGCTACATGAGATTTTCGTCATTTTTGAGTCAAAAAAATGGTACACGAGGTATGATTGATCCTAAAACATTGTGATTGGTGTTGAAAGTTATAACTTTCAAAGGTTAAACTATAATTTTCAAAGATCAAGTTATAACTCATAATAGAGAAATTACAACTGTTCAAAGTAATCTCATAATCATTTTTTTTTTCTTTTCAGTATCATAACTTACACGTCAACAAACTGTAATTTGACCTTAAAAAATTGTGATTTTCAGTACGATACCTATGAGGAGACTATAGTCTTTTCCCATAAAAGATTAGTTGTAAACAGGCCTATAATAAAAGTCATTCCTAATATATCAAAGTTGAAAAAGATTGAAATAAACAAATTTNTTGCTGACTGGGATGGATGCCCTGATACACGACGCAGTGTTACAAGTTTTTGTGTGTTTTTGGGCACCTCACTTATATCCTGGAAGTCCAAGAAACAAACCACAGTTTCTCTTTCCTCGGCTGAGGCAGAATGGAGGGTCATGGCCTCCACTGGGAGTGAATTAACTTGGCTTTTTGCTCTTCTTTCTGATTTTCAAATTAATCATTCATAGAATACCCTGCTTTTTTGTGACAATTAGGTTGCTCTCCATATTGCAGTCAATCCAGTGTTCCACAAAAGAACTAAGCATATTAAACTTGATTGTCATTTCATCTGAGACAAAATACAATCTGGCCTTCTCAAAACCTTACATGTTTCATCTTCCAATCGTCACCAAACCACTTGGGATTCCTTAGTTTACTCTTCTTCTCCTCAGCAAGCTAGGTGTTCTTAACATCCACACTCCAGCGTAAGAGGACGTGTTGAGTCTAAGGCTGGATGAGGCAAAGCTGAATGAGGAATTCACACTGTTAGAAGATGTTAGAAGTTTGTTATTCTCAGCTATCAAGTTGTTAAAAGTTACTTAGAATAAGATATTGTATTTGATTAGTTAGATTCTTTCTTGTTAATTGATAGCTGACGTAAGATGGTATGTATATTTTTTATGATGTAAACAGTGTTTAGTGTGTTGAACAAATGAGAAAATCTCTCTCTCTCTCTATTCTCTCATTTCTTCTTCAAATTTAATAATTAGGATTTTTGAATATACTAGTTGAATTACGCAAAGGTTTTAAAATTTAAGAGGGACATGAAGTATTTTTGAAGAGTTGAGGGGCACAGGGCCCCCCTTGGCCAAAAGATAGTTCTCCACTCCAATGTACTGCTCTATTTGATGCTCTTGTGTTGTAATCACTCAGAGGAGGTAAATGATAAGCAGAAGAGAATCGAGAGACAAAAGTCAAGAACAAGATGCTACATGAGATTTTCGTCATTTTTGAGTCAAAAAAATGGTACACGAGGTATGATTGATCCTAAAACATTGTGATTGGTGTTGAAAGTTATAACTTTCAAAGGTTAAACTATAATTTTCAAAGATCAAGTTATAACTCATAATAGAGAAATTACAACTGTTCAAAGTAATCTCATAATCATTTTTTTTTTCTTTTCAGTATCATAACTTACACGTCAACAAACTGTAATTTGACCTTNATGCTGACTGGGATGGATGCCCTGATACACGACGCAGTGTTACAAGTTTTTGTGTGTTTTTGAGCACCTCACTTATATCCTGGAAGTCCAAGAAACAAACCACAGTTTCTCTTTCCTCGGCTGAGGCAGAATGGAGGGTCATGGCCTCCACTGGGAGTGAATTAACTTGGCTTTTTGCTCTTCTTTCTGATTTTCAAATTAATCATTCATAGAATACCCTGCTTTTTTGTGACAATTAGGTTGCTCTCCATATTGCAGTCAATCCAGTGTTCCACAAAAGAACTAAGCATATTAAACTTGATTGTCATTTCATCTGAGACAAAATACAATCTGGCCTNACACTTTATGTCCCCAAACTATTATCTTTATCTTATTTTATACTCTCAACTATAAATTTTTTCACATTATACTTTAAAATATTAATTTTATTTTATATCACTTCAATAGATAACGACGAAGGAAGAGCTTTTCGTCAAGTGCCTAATNGCACTTTATGTCCCCAAACTATTATCTTTATCTAATTTTATACTCTCAACTATAAATTTTTTCACATTACACTTTAAAATATCAATTTTGTTTTATATCACTTCAATAGATAACGACGAAGGAAGAGCTTTTCGTCAAGTGCCTAATACCATTTTATTTTACATCATTTGCTATCAAATGATAAGTGGGAAAAAAAAATCAACCAGAAAAAGAAAATTTGGAGTTTATGAAGGATAAAGCTATTGATTGACATTTTTCTTATTTTTTACTTGCGCATGTGCAATACAAAATTATGGTAATACAGACAACTCATATATGTATTTACAATTAAAAAATTAACAACCGTTTATATATTAGAATAAAATAAAACAAAATTGATATTTTAAATTATAATGTGAAAAATTTATAGTTGACATTACAAAATGAAATATAAGTAACAGTTCAACGGAATAAAATATAATTTACCTAAATAAAATGAAGAGAAAATTGTAGGTGATTATTTTAGACAATTTAGGAGTATTATAATCATTTTTTGGATGGACACTAAAACACCTCTCCTTTAACTAGGCTATTAAGTTGAGTCTCTTTGAATTATTTTTTTCCCCAATATGACCACTTGCATATTGATATTTTGCTCCTCCAAATGAATCCCTTTGAAATAAAAATTTATATTCGAAACGTATCCAAAACATCTCGAATTACCAAAATTTAGATATAACAAAAGTGGTCATATTGGATCATGAACTCGGGCATCGTTTAATGGAGTGAGATTTTTTTTTTTTGGCAAATAATACTTTATCCCTCCTACTAATTTTAAAATATTTAGTTTACACCCTTAAATATCAATAAATTTAATTTTTCACCCTCTACTATACTAATTGGTAGCAATGTCACTCAAGTTATGACGCCCACTGTAATTTCCATCAACCTAACAATCATGTGACACACGTGATACGATGATACCATACAAAATTATTAATTTAGGATTAAATTTGTGCGCCATCTCAACATGTGACGTAGCATATGAAACGGGGGATAAAAAAAAAAGAGTCTAATCTTTCAATCTCCTTCCCTCTCTCTCTCTCTCTCTCCCTCACACACACACACACTATATATATATATCAATTACACAGTAGCCAACCATGATACAACTACTTCCTCCCCTCCTGCATACCAGCAGTTGTGTTCTTCAATATCTGCAGCGTCAATAAACTTAACTGTGAGTAATATGAGTAATGTTTGAAAAGTCACATGTTGAAAACAGAAGTTCAATTACTGTGAGTACAACAAAATTGAAACACTACAAGTGTTCAAGATTGGGAATCAAGAAAACTTTAAAATTCAACTACAGTCTTCTACCGATTGATACTAATGCTCAACAAGTTAATGATATACAGCAATCGAGATATTCTAAGGAACAAGCTTCTTTTTCCCGTCCATAACTGACATTCCGATTATCTTTTACCTAGTAATCAATATTCTCGTTTTGAAAAGAAAAAATGCTCCCTAATCCCACAGATAAGAACAGTCAGAAATGTGCGTGTCATCTGAACAGCACTGACCATAATACCAAGAAAAAACAGATATTGTAGTGTATTAAAAAAGAATATAAATTGTGGTATACACCATACTAATGGGAATTTCGACTTTCCACCACTGTTTCTTTTTGATTTCTACCAAAATTGAAATGTTTAGGTTGAATGAAATAGAATATGTGTTCCTTGAAGACTATGACATAAAATAAAGTTTTGGTCATTTTGGTGCATTTTCATAAGCTAATATACAAACAATGCCTCCTCCTAATGAGCAGGATTATTTAGATTATGATTGTCTTTGCTGCTCAATAGATTCCCAAAAGAGACGTATGATATTGGTTATTTGGCCTATAAATAGTACACAAAAAGAGTTTTCTTTGCGGACAACTCATGGTTCATGGTCAAGCCTAACAACTAACAGCTCAATATTTATAGCTACCGAACAAATATCAATGAGGATTTGTGGGCCTACCACCAAACACCATAGTAATCATATATGCTCATGAGTCATGACATTACCTCCTCTTGATAGAGAATGACAAGACCATATATCAAAGCCATACCCACTCAACACCACGACAGGACATGACCATAGCTCTCATCCCTCAAACCCAATGATTCATTCACTCTTAAAGTCTTTATTTCATCCTCCAAAATCTTATTTGTCACACACATCATAACACATATTATTACTTGTAGAAATAAAATTCATAACAAAGTTGTTCATGTGCAAATTCTTTTACAGGAATAAANTTCCCTAATCCCACAGATAAGAACAGTCGAAATGTGCGTGTCATCTGAACAGCACTGACCATAATACCAAGAAAAAAACAGATATTGTAGTGTATTAAAAAAGAATATAAATTGTGGTATACACCATACTAATGGGAATTTCGACTTTCCACCACTGTTTTTTTTTGATTTCTACCAAAATTGAAATGTTTAGGTTGAATGAAATAGAATATGTGTTCCTTGAAGACTATGACATAAAATAAAGTTTTGGTCATTTTGGTGCATTTTCATAAGCTAATATACAAACAATGCCTCCTCCTAATGAGCAGGATTATTTAGATTATGATTGTCTTTGCTGCTCAATAGATTCCCAAAAGAGACGTATGATATTGGTTATTTGGCCTATAAACAGTACACAAAAAGAGTTTTCTTTGCGGACAACTCATGGTTCATGGTCAAGCCTAACAACTAACAGCTCAATATTTATAGCTACCGAACAAATATCAATGAGGATTTNTAAAAGAAAAACCAAGTGCAAAGAGACTCTTGACATAGACTGATCTAGAGAGGTCGAAAGACACACGATGTGGTTTATGACGCCGAAGTCACAATAGACCAATCATCGTCATGCTAAGATTCGTCCTAAAATTTTTAAACAGAAAATAACCTAAAAGTTTTTTAAGACTCAAAATATCAATTGTATTAGTTGTATCTAATTTGGAAATCTTATTTAAATATTTAATCCATTGTAGCAATTGACTGATAGTAGAATTCATTCAGTGTTAGGATTGTTCCCCTAAACTATTGTTTCAAAGGCATGGACAACANAAAAAGAAAAACCAAGTGCAAAGAGACTCTTGACATAGACTGATCTAGAGAGGTCGAAAGACACACTTGATGGGGTTTATGACGCCGAAGTCACAATAGACCAATCATCGTCATGCTAAGATTCGTCCTAAAATTTTTAAACAAAAAATAACCTAAAAGTTTTTTAAGACTCAAAATATCAATTGTATTAGTTGTATCTAATTTAGAAATCTTATTTAAATATTTAATCCATTGTAGCAATTGACTGATAGTAGAATTCATTCAGTGTTAGGATTGTTCCCCTAAACTATTGTTTCAAAGGCATGGACAACAATAATAGGTTGAGAATGACATTTATGACCAAAAAAAAAATTCTCAAATGAATTCATACACCCAAAATACCTTTGTAAAAAAGTAGACACCTAACGTGGTTAAGCAAAATTAATCCCCAAATGGGGTGGTTTTGAAACTATTTTTCAAACCCAAGTTGTTTATAAAATGGTCAGTTGGGTTGATGTTTCTATTGAAAAAAAGTCAGCCCAATTGAGATGTTCTAAAATCCCAAAATGTTGTCTAAAAACTGACTTCTTGTGCGATTGTAATTTTGGTCTTTCTTTCAACACATTATTCATGTAAATGTGCTAGTCAAATTGATTTTTTTTCATTAAAAGTCTCCGTTAAACTAAAGTTTTTAAAAACAGTCTAGGTTTGAATAATAAGGTAAAGACTAGAATTGTTTGGGAATAATTCTCCCAATATGCATTGGAATGGTAAAATCTCCCTAAAATGACATCTGAAAAAACATTTGTTCCATACTGATGATGATATGATGATGGTCAGAGAAGAAATAATGTCATGTCATGATAGTGATGTGCATGAGAAAATAAAAGCATAGGAAAGGGTCGACAATACATACATGTCTAAGCATCTGGTTTTCATTTTGCAAGGTGGACAGCCTCTCTTCAAGCTCTGAGTTCTTCGTTTCCAAGTCTTTAACCCTCGCCTCCAACTCGATCAAATACGCCTTCTTCCTCTCCCTTGCTTGTTGTGCTGAAACTCTGTTCCTCAATAACCTATTCCCACGTTTTATGCCAGGAGAACACAAAAAATTACCAAAATGCTACTACCGAATTTCACACAGGTATGTGTGCCAATACCCCGTATCAAAATTTAGTTAACTCATTCACAATTTATTTGTAATCGGGTATAATTAAATTCATATTTGATTGAGTTCGTAAGTTGTATAAGTCGTGTTTAATGGGTTGATACCATTTAGACGAGTCAGATTTACCCATTTACCACCAAACTGGCAAACTAACAAGAACCATATTCAAACCTATTAAATCTCGATTCAAATTCGTTAATTTGACGTTACAANTAAAATGACATCTGAAAAAACATTTGTTCCATACTGATGATGATATGATGATGGTCAGAGAAGAAATAATGCATGTCATGATAGTGATGTGCATGAGAAAATAAAAGCATAGGAAAGGGTCGACAATACATACATGTCTAAGCATCTGGTTTTCATTTTGCAAGGTGGACAGCCTCTCTTCAAGCTCTGAGTTCTTCGTTTCCAAGTCTTTAACCCTCGCCTCCAACTCGATCAAATACGCCTTCTTCCTCTCCCTTGCTTGTTGTGCTGAAACTCTGTTCCTCAATAACCTATTCCCACGTTTTATGCCAGGAGAACACAAAAAATTACCAAAATGCTACTACCGAATTTCACACAGGTATGTGTGCCAATACCCCGTATCAAAATTTAGTTAACTCANACCGAATTTCAAGCAGGTATGTGTGCCAATACCCCGTATCAAAATTTAGTTAACTCATTCACAATTTAATTGTAATCGGGTATAATTAAATTCATATTTGATTGAGTTCGTAAGTTGTATAAGTCGTGTTTAATGGGTTGATACCATCTAGACGAGTCAGATTTACCCATTTACCACCAAACTGGCAAACTAACTAGAACCATATTCAAACCTATTAAATCTCGATTCAAATTCGTTAATTTGACGTTACAAATTGTGCCTAGACAAAATTGCCTATATCCACTACTCCACCTTCATCGTGCCATGTTGGTGGTCCCCACCAAGTGGCGCAAATATTGACGTGGCATGATCTGGTAGGTCAGTCCTGACAACCGTACTGCAGGTAAATTACCTCTTCTTTTATCTTTATCTGGTAATTTTCTTTGCTGATTCTTCACCTGGTAATTAAATAAAAGCCAAATTTACCTCTTCAATCGCTTGTTTTCTTTGTCAGCCGGGCTTCTAACTCTCTTCCTAGTACCCTCCGCTGAGGGCTGAACCCGGGCCCGACCGACCACTGAACCGCCATTTCGGCCGGAAGCTGACGCGCCAGCGGCTTCTCCCCCAATCTCTGGCACTCTTCTGATCTCGTCATCACTCTCCATCCCTACATAAAAGACAACAACAGAAAAACATCAATTGGAGCACATCACGAGATCGTTTAGTGGGAATTAACTTTACTGAGAAATTCCAAAATTCCAAGATAGAAAAATCTCAAACTATTCAAAATCAACATGAGAAATTTCTAAATTCTTTGAAAAATCCGATACTATTAAGCATATGAATATAACCATACACGTACAAATACAAGTCCATATGAGAATTAATGTTTCTGGACAATTCGATTGATTTGCTCAAGTCTTGAAAGCGAAATGATTAATAGTGGAATTAATATAAAAAAATTCAAGTTTCAGAAGAAAACCTGAGCAAGATGAGAGAGAAAAATTACCTTCCTTGATCTCTATTTGAAGAGCGGAGCTGGAAGATCTTTCGCTGCTTGAAGGCAGAGAGCTGGTTGCCACGGAAGTCGTTGCTTGCTCTTGCATTTCCCTAGCACAAGACACACAAAGAAGAGAGAGAAAGTAGACAGACGAGAGAGATGGAAAGTAGGGAAGATTTCTCTGTCAGAGAAGGGGAAAAAGAGCGGGATATTAAAGTCAAGAGTGGGAGTAAAGAAAGAGTACGAGAGTGGAGAGATTACTACAGCCGTTAGATTGTGTTAAATCCAACGGTAACAAAGTAGTGATCGTGGAAGTGTTATGAGCCATAAGGAGTCTGGTTAATCAAAGGCTGATGGACAGGAATCGTGGATTAATATACACTATGGGATTTACAATCGATCAACGGTGTGGATGAAACTCTATACTGAATCCAATGAATTTTGCAGTACCTGCGCTGGCTCGAAAAGCGTCGATGTTTCTCTATTTTTGGGAAATAAGTGTTATTACCAAAATGCCCAGGTATGTCTTCCTCTTTTTTGTGCATCACTAGGGAGCTTACACCGGGTATTTGTGTGTGTAATTTTAAAAAAAGATTAATTATAATAATTGTAGGATTTTGGAGTGGGCTACCTATCCAAAACCCAAAACATCTAACAGACCCAACAGTTACATAACGACCCAAGAGACCCCTTTACAACCCATCGGTACTGCAATAAGAAATGAGTCATAATTCAAAGAAGGGAGCCCAGTAAAGAGTCCAGTTAGTCACAATCTTACTCGGTCATATCAAGTTCAGCAGTAAGCAGTCCGAGAGCAAGAAGCTCAGTATTCACCAAACTCTAAATGTCTCACATCGTGCCACGTATCTAGGGGACAACTTCTGGAGCCTTTGACGAACGTGTTGTCTATGGAGGCGCAACAGATCACTATCCACATCGACTTACAGTTGGTGGTTAGACAAGTGGAAGAAGAGTATGCAGCTCGGGATGACAAAATGACTCTAGATGTAAGGAAAGTGTGAAGTTTGTTAAGGAAATTTGTTATAGCCGAGCTTGTCCAGGTGCCAAGAGAAGCAAATTCTCGAGCTGATGCATTGGTCAAGTTGGCTTCAGTTGCTCAGCACGACCTATCTGGTACAACTCCTGTTGAGATTTTACTTGAACCTAGTGTCCAACCTAATGAAGACCAAGCCATGCCAGTTGAGGAAACCATTTCGTGGATGGATCCCATCATATCCTACCTACAGGATGGTTTCTTCCTAAATGACAAAAAAGAAGCAGCAAAGTTGAAAAACAAAGCCGTGAGATTCACTTTTGTGCAAGGTAAGTTATATAAAAGAGGTTTTTCCTTTCCACTAATGAGATGTGTTTCAAAAATGAAGGCAGATTACATCATGAGGGAAATCCATAGGAGCATATGTGGAAACACATTGGAGCTCGGACCCTGGCCGCCAAAGTACTTAGGTAGGGATACTTTTGACCCACAACAGCCAAAGATGCGAAGGAAGTGGTGAAGAAGTGCCAGACATGCCATGTTCACAAAAACCTACCACATCGTCCCCTGGAGCAACTCACACCTGTTGCCAGTCCTTGACCCTTCCAGTAGTGGGGGCTGGACATCAGACAATACAAATTTGCCATAGTCGCAGTAGACTACTTTACAAAGTGGGCAGAAGCTGAAACATTAACAAAGATGACTAAGAATAAAGTTTAGAAACTTTGTCTGAAAGTCGATAATCTATCGCTTCGGCATTCCCAGAGTTGTAGTTTTAGATAACAAAAAGCAGTTCGACAACCTGGGGTTCACGGGGTTTTGTGCAGAGTTAGGAATCAAAAACTATTGCTCGGCACTTGCACACCCGCAATCCAATGGGCATGCAAAAATTACCATCCGAACCATCAAACTGGCATTGAAGACAAAGTTGGAAGCCTCTAAGTCACAATGGGTCAATCATCTCTCTACCATGNTTCGGCATTCCCAGAGTTGTAGTTTTAGATAACAAAAAGCAGTTTGACAACCTGGGGTTCACGGGGTTTTGTGCAGAGTTGGGAATCAAAAACTATTGCTCGGCACTTGCACACCCGCAATCCAATGGGCATGCAAAAATTACCATCCGAACCATCAAACTGGCATTGAAGACAAAGTTGGAAGCCTCTAAGTCACAATGGGTCAATCATCTCTCTACCATGTTATGGGCTTATCGGATGACAGTGCGAACAGCTGTGGGGGAGACCCCATTCAGCCTTGCTTATGAAACCGAAGCCATGACGCCAATTGAAGTTGGGTTGCCTTCAGCAAGAACAGAACTCTTTGATCCTGAGCAGAATGAGAGATCACTGCTTGTCAATCTTGACCTCCTGGACGAGAAGAGACATGAAGCATTACAACGGATATTTTTTTACCAAAGAAACACCCCTAGATACTACAACATGCGAGTAAGGAAGAGAAGCTTCAACCCAGACGACCTGGTCCTAAAAAAACTGCTCCCAGTGAGAAAAGATCCATCACATGGGAAACTTGGCTCGAATTGGGAAGGACCCTAGGTCGTAAAGAGAGTGGTCCGTACTGGTAATTATGAGTTGCAGACCGAGGAAGGAAAAGACTTGCAACATCCTGGGAACGCGGATCATCTAAAGCGTTACTACTAGTAGGACCCTTGGAATCCACATCAGTTGTAAATTTGCAGTCTTCAAATCAATGAAATTTTCCAAAGTTCTAGCCAAGAAAAATTTGCACAGTATGAATCCAACAATTCTCTAAAAGCCGCGAGTTCTTCAGCGGCGCGAAATCAACTAGGCTTTTCAGCCTAAGAGCTTTTTCAAGCTCGAAAGAGAGCTTTTCAACTTGAAAAGCTGCCAACTCTTCAACTGTGTAAATTCAAATAGGCTCTTCAATCTAAGAGCTTTTTCAAGCTCGGAAGAGATATTTTTAGCTTAGAAAGGCGCAAGCTCTTTAGCATCACAAATTTGATTAGGCTCTTCAGCCTTAGAGCTTTTTCATGCTCAAAAGAAAGTTTTTCAACTCGAAAAGCCGTGAGCTCTTCAGCCACGAAAACTCGACTAAGCTTTTCAGTTTAAGAGCTTTTTCAAGCTCAGAAGAAAGCTTTTCATCTCAAAAAGTCGCGAGCTAATTCAAACACGCAAATTCGACTAGGTTTTTCAGCCTAAGAGCTTTTTCAAGCTTAGAAGAGGATTTTTTAGCTTGGAAAGCCACAAGCTCTTCAACAGCGCAAATGCGACTAGACTCTTCAACCTAAGAGCTTTTTCAAGCTTGAAAGAGGGATTTTTAGCTCGAAAGTTGTGAGCTCTTTAGCCGTGCAAACTCGACTAGGGTTTTTAGCCTAAAAGCTTTTTAGCTCAGAAAAGAACTTTTTATGCGAAAGTTTCCAAAAAAGCTCAAAGCCAGACAATTAGAATCAACAAAGTAAAATCCAGGCAATGAAAGGAAAGAAACAATTTGTATTCATTAGCAAAGCAGTTACAATGGAAGAGGAGTACAAAATAAGAAAAAATTTAAGCCCCTCGGCATTTTGTTTCAGAACTGAAATCTCCTTCATCAGACGGACATTCTCAACCCTCAGCTCGTCTCACTCTTTCTTAACCTTAGAAAGCTATTTCTCGAGCCTTNGACAATTTGTATTCATTAGCAAAGTAGTTACAATGGAAGAGGAGTACAAAATAAGAAAAAATTTAAGCCCCTCGGCATTTCGTTCCAGAACTGAAATCTCCTTCATCAGACGGACATTCTCAACCCTCAGCTCGTCTCACTCTTTCTTAACCTTAGAAAGCTATTTCTCGAGCCTTGCCTTCCCCGTCAAAAACTCCAACTCAATAGCTGTAAGCCCCATCTCACTGAAGGAGGAATCTAATGATCGCGGCGATAGGATGCCTCATTGGTGCTTCTATGAGGAGGTGGCAATAGCCTCATATGACTTGCTTGGAGAAGAGTTTACATTGAGGATGAAGAGGGGAGGATCAGAAATAGCAATTGGAAGGACAGTTGGGTTAGGACCAGTCCCAAACTAGAAGAGATTCAGAGTTGTGACAAGCGAGAAGAAGGGAGCCGCCTTGGTGAGAGCAAGCCGATGAACCCTACTAAGCTCGTCTGGGGTCAGGCCAGGACCATCTGCACAATACAAACACGGTTAAGACTGCATAAAAACTACTAAGCATAGAATCCCCGAGGCTAACAAGGAATCCCCAAGAGCCATTATTCCTTTACGTTTGCATATAGGGGCATATCGAAGTCGATGCTAAAAAAATACAGGAACTCAGCAACGGTGGGAAAATCACCGTAACCTTGCAAACGCCAGAAGATGAAAAAACTAATCAGAGTATCCCACCCCTCTAGGAGAGTGGCAAGAAGGGCACAACCCGAAATGGNTGCCTTGGTGAGAGCAAGCCGATGAACCCTACTAAGCTCGTCTGGGGTCAGACCAGGACCATCTGCACAATACAAACACGGTTAAGACTGCATAAAAACTACTAAGCATAGAATCCCCGAGGCTAACAAGGAATCCCCAAGAGCCATTATTCCTTTACGTTTGCATATAGGGGCATATCGAAGTCGATGCTAAAAAAATACAGGAACTCAGCAACGGTGGGAAAATCACCGTAACCTTGCAAACGCCAGAAGATGAAAAAACTAATCAGAGTATCCCACCCCTCTAGGAGAGTGGCAAGAAGGGCACAACCCGAAATGGGCAAGAACTCACCTAATGGCTGGATGGATGGGCAAACGTAGATCCATCTCAAACGCACTTTCAAAGAAACAAACTTCCCAACGAAGGAGGAAGTTGTAAGGCTCGTCTATCAAGGGAATTTGGATAGCCAAGCCACCAGGAAGGTGATACTGTTTTTTGAACTCCTTTGCCTTCAAAGTAGTAAAAACAAAGGGAAGCAGAAACACCGAGTACCAAGTTACATCAAACATAGCTTGAGCCCTCTATTTGAACAAAGGAGTAGGAAAGGAAGCCATTAAACCCAAGAATAAGCAAAATGCACAAGAGACCCTTCAGAAAAATCAGAAATGCAGGAGATAAAAGACTCCAAAATATAGGGAGGTAGATAATTAGGGAAAGTGGGCAGACGACTGTTATATTCCTGCAATCATGGCAGAAGTTAATGAAGACGGAGCACATTAAGGTTAGGCGGAGTTACGTGGGCACGAATAATGAACAAGTTATTGCTCTTCACCTGAATTTGTACACTACGATTTAAAAATGTACTACACCAACAAAAAAGAATAGCCAGGCAGAGATAGCAATAACCAAAGAGCCCAAATTCACACAGCTTGGTTTAGCACAGCTCACGATTACACAACACAAGATTGTGGAGATCGAGCATGGTGGGCAAAGTAANACAAAAAAGAATAGCCAGGCAGAGCTAGCAATAACCAAAGAGCCCAAATTCACATAGCTTGGTTTAGCACAGCTCACGATTACACAACACAAGATTGTGGAGATCGAGCATGNCCAACAAAAAAGAATAGCCAGGCAGAGATAGCAATAACCAAAGAGCCCAAATTCACACAGCTTGGTTTAGCACAGCTCACGATTACACAACACAAGATTGTGGAGATCGAGCATGGTGGGCAAAGTAACAACCATACTCCAACAAGGTCAAAACCTCCTTGGAGTAGGGGCAAGGGGAGAACACATCAAGCAATTAGCAATATAAGAAACAAGTTAAGTGTTCTTCATTTTTAGCAAATAAGAAGAGTTACACTTTCAAAACAAAAATCAAGGTTGGCTGGTTGGCGGAGCAGCAACAAAAAGGTCACTAGGAGGAAGGTCAAATCGAGGCTTAAATTGATTGAGGTCAAGGTCAGGAAACTTCTCGATCACCTAATCTACGAAGTTAAAGAATCCATCTACAAATGCCTTGGCAGCCTTTATCCTGGCCTTCTCAATTTCCTTGCATTGATCCTCGACCAACCGGCGCTCAACAACCAAAGAGTTATTCAGGTCTGCAATCACTACACGAGATTCTCTCAGTTGCACCGTCAGCACTGCCTTGTTAGTTCAAAGGAGATCAACTCGTCTTCTTGGATGTTGAAATCCTAGGCCAATTCTTCTGATTGGGTTCTCAGTAGTTCCCGCAGAGAGATCTCGGAAGTGGCAGTGGTGATAAGCTATCGAAAAACTTGAGCTCTTTGATCGAGAGTAGCTTCCAACTCGGATTCTATAGTTAAACCCCGACGCAGGAGCTTGGCACCCTGTTGTCGGACCTCTTGGAGCTCAGCACTCCTCCAACAAGCTTTTTCCCTTAAATGATGGACCTCCGCTCCAAGGGCACAAACGTGCGTCGCTGCCTAGGGCCAAAGTAGAAAATTAAGGCATTAGAAAGCTGAAATAGGAGAAGTCAAAGAAAAAGACGAACCCTACCTTGAGGAGTGCATGAAGGGCATCTCGACTCCTAGCTTGAAATGGTTGGCTAACAGAGTGACGAAGATCTACCTGAGGAATCAATTCTATAACCGCTCAACTGCTTAAAGTCACGTCGTCCAATAGGCTCCCCTTAAGATCAACAAATGGACCCAGAGTAGCCTAATTCGAGTTGGACCCACTACTCCAATAGGGGAGGAACCACACTGAACTGGCCCTCCTGCTGGGTCACATGCAACAGTGTTCACTATTGCTTCTTTAGCGCTAGACATTGGGTTAGACACCAACACCTCTTCAACAATGGGAACCGGTTCAAATACTGGCGCTTCAACAACACCAGGTAATACCTCAGGCGTGGGAGAGAAGCTCAGCGTTGGTAAGTCCATCAATGCCTCGGTAACAGTAGGTGGAACCACATACTTGGCAGTAGAGCTCGAGGATAGGGCTGAGCTGCCTTCTACTAGTCTAGCCCTCTTCACTGAAGATCTTAGGCCCCGAGCTCGACTCCTAACTGAACAAGAAGGGTAGTTAGGAAGTAAGCTCAGTTGAACACATAAAAAATAAAGCGGTAAGTAAAGAACAGTAAATACTCATGATTGCTCGGGACCTAAGCAAGTTCAGGANTTTAGGCCCCGAGCTCGACTCCTAACTGAACAAGAAGGGTAGTTAGGAAGTAAGCTCAGTTGAACACATAAAAAATAGAGCGGTAAGTAAAGAACAGTAAATACTCATGATTGCTCGGGACCTAAGCAAGTTCAGGATGCATTAGTTCAGTATAATTATGTCCTTTAATTATGTCTCAATATCATTACTGCCTTTGATGTACTTCAAAAATATTGAATGAGGTTGAACACCTCAAAATGTGCCTTTGGGGTCGACTTAGGAAGGTTTATGTGTTTTCTTGTAACCCATCGAGGTCTAGAGGCAAACCCCGATCAGTTACATGCATTCACACAGTTGCAGCCGCCCAAGACGATCAAAGAATTATAGAGATTAACTGGCATGACAACAACCCTCAACATATTCGTATCTAGGTCATCAGACAAATGTCATCTATTTTTTTAGTCTCTCATGCAGAAGAGGAAGGGAGTATGGAATCAAAAATGTGAAGAAGCTTTCGATAAGCTAAAGATATATCCAGCCACTCCTCCCTTGCTACTTACGCTAATCTCGGGGGAACGCGTTTATGAACATGCGGTGAGCAGAGCTTTGATGAAGAACTTTGAAAGAGGATTGAGTCCAATTTACTATGTCAGTAAAATAGGTCTCGATGTAGAAACAAGTTACCTCCCGCTTGAGAAATTAGCGTTGGCACTAGTAAGCTCGATTAAAAAATTAGGCATACCTGTCAAGAAGGGTATCCATATGGGCTATAGAACTAGACGAGTATGACATCATCTTTGAGCCCAGAACATCAATCAAGGGACATGTGGTGACAGAATTTCTTAGTGAATTCTTTCCTGGGCATAATCGAGCTCACACCAAGCCTCTAGAGAAAACGGACACTGCTTGGAAGGACATCTCAGACTCACAAAGCAGTTGGAAACTGGTCGCGGATGGGTCCTCAAATCATAAAGGTGCAAGCATCGACACAATACTAAAAGGTCCAAAGGGATACATATTGGAGAAATCAGCAAGGCTCAGCTTTCAAGCTTCAAATAACGAGGTCGAATACAAGGCTTTCCTGGTTGGTGTAAAACTTGCAGCAAACATCAATGTTGGAAGTCCGCAAATTTATTCAAACTCCCAGGTTGTTGTAAAACGGATATTGGGGGAATACTTGACTAAAGACAAACGAATTCAGGCTTACCATGAATTAGNGCACAATACTAAAAGGTCCAAAGGGATACATACTGGAGAAATCAGCAAGGCTCAGCTTTCAAGCTTCAAATAACGAGGCCGAATACAAGGCTTTCCTGGTTGGTGTAAAACTTGCAGCAAACATCAATGTGGGAAGTCTGCAAATTTATTCAAACTCCCAGGTTGTTGTAAAATGGATATTGGGGGAATACTTGACTAAAGACAAACGAATTCAGGCTTACCATGAATTAGCCATGGGAAAGCTCTGTCGTATTCCTAAATACTAAATTCAACAAATTGTGAGAGCTATAAATGTGCATGTCGACTCCATAGCTGCCTTGGCATCCACAATAGGGGAAAAACGACCAGAAACATAAGAATTGAATGTCGAGATCAATCAAGAATAGAGTTGGATAAGCCTGCTAAAGCATTATCTACCGAACTGGGACCTAGTTGAAAGGACCTGATTGTAAATTATCTAAAGAATGGAGAGTTACTAGAAAATTAAAAAGTTGTGCATAAAGTGTAATTGAAAGCAGTGAGATTTTGGCACCCATCNGCAATAGGGGAAAAACGACCAGAAACATAAGAATTGAATGTCAAGATCAACCAAGAATAGAGTTGGATAAGCCTGCTAAACCATTATCTACCGAACTGGGACCTAGTTGAAAGGACCTGATTGTAAATTATCTAAAGAATGGAGAGTTACTAGAAAATTAAAAAGTTGTGCATAAAGTGTAATTGAAAGCAGTGAGATTTTGGCACCCATCGGCGTTGAGGCTGTTGACCCAGTTGGGTAAAAAGGGGAAGAAAATGGATATAAAGGTCAAGGGTAAAAAAGTAATTTTTAATTTTTTTATTGAATTTGATGGCGTATTTCAACGTGATGCAATTTTGTGATGATGAGTAAATGAAAGAAACAATATTAGAATTGTTGGGATCTGAGCGACTAGACTCAAGTGAATGATACTGAGAATTGTTGGGGAGTTGGGAAATTAACACAGTAAAAATATAGTGGTTCACCANTATTGAATTTGATGGCGTATTTCAACGTGATGCAATTTTGTGATGATGAGTAAATGAAAGAAATAATATTAGAATTGTTGGGATTTGAGCGACTAGACTCAAGTGAATGATACTGAGAATTGTTGGGGAGTTGGGAAATTAACACAGTAAAAATATAGTGGTTCACCAACTAGGGAGCTCAGCTAATCCACTCTTCAATGGAGGCTCTGACTCCTTTTTCTTTATTAATCATACCAAAGGTTTACAGAATAGGTTTTTTGTCATTCGGTCCCCCTTTCTGCTGGGGGCATTACAGGGTATTTATAAGGCCATTCTTTGTTAAGTGGGATCCTGGCCGATATTTTTGCTCTTACTTCATGGGATTCTCCCTAATTCTAAGAGAAGATCTTGGTTGGTTGAGATTAGNTTTGCTCTTACTTCATGGGATTCTCCCTAATTCTAGGAGAAGATCTTGGTTGGTTGAGATTAGGTGCCTTGATTATTGCTTCCTAACGCTTTTAGGAACCTCTCATGATCTTCCAGATGATGCCTTGGTTGTTATTGCCCTTGTTTATCTCGAAGGGACCTCCAGCTCTACTCTTCCGAATTCTGTTCGTTTAGTCTGACCTCCTGGACTGAGCTGAACTCCTGAGCTGGCGTTTGGGATTTATTTTGAGGTATCATCAGTTGCCCCCCCCCAGCCCTTGGCCCAAGCAAGCTTGGGCATGGGTTGAGCTGCTTTTACCTTNGCTGAGCTGAACTCCTGAGCTGGCGTTTGGGATTTATTTTGAGGTATCATTAGTTGCCCCCCCCAGCCCTTGGCCCAAGCAAGCTTGGGCATGGGTTGAGCTGCTTTTACCTTGGACCAGACCTGCGCCTACCTGACCTTAGCCTGCATGTGAGATGCACGTGGGAGGGGCTTTTTGATGGTAGCAGTAATCATGGCTCCCTTGGTTCCCGCACACGCCTCATCCCATGTCTTTCAAGCTTTAAATGCTCAAAACGGCTAAAAGAGAACGTACAAAACCACCGTTCATCTTCTACGCTGTTCACCTTCGTCTCCGGCTCTTTCTCTCTGTGATTTCTAGGCTTCCTCCATGCGATTCCCTTATTCTCTACTCTAGACTGTGTTTTCTGGGTTAGACTCGAAGTCCTACTTTGTTCCTCTCCTCTAATTTTGTTCTTTGGCTGCTGTTTGTTGTTCTTCTTCCTTGTCTAGGTACGCTTCCTTATGCCCCTTTCTCTTTCTGTTGCCTTTCCTCACTCTGGATCCCTCGACTTCGAGGTGGCCATTATTTTTCTAGGTTTTTCAGTTCTTTTTCTTTTGGAATCACGATCGTTGCCTATCTCCTCTTCCCCGCTTTGTGGATTGAAACTCTACTGTGAGAATTCTTACTGTCGGGAGGTACAGTGCTGACCCTAGGATTATCAGGGGGTGTTTAGTTAGTATTCCTCCTTTTTATAATTCTATCGATTTGCCTTTCTCTTTGCCAATCATGTCTGCCTCCTCTAGAGCAACTCCCTTCTCTGTTTCCCTCCTAGGCGATNTTTTGCCAATCATGTCTGCCTCCTCTAGAGCAACTCCCTTCTCTGTTTTCCTCCTAGGCGATAGGTCTGTCAAGAGAGATTCTGATTTAGGGGATGTAGGTGATGAGATTGACAACTTCCCCGATGTTGAGGCTGTCGATACCGAGGTGGACTCCAAGGAACTCCCCTCATCTTCCTCTCATGTACCTTCTAGTGCTGATAAGGGTAAGGGCAAAGTGAGTGAGGTTGGGATTCCTGATAGTACAGCGGGTATGGGGGCTGCCTTCAGGCATACTGAGCTTGTGGGTCCCAGTGGGGTGGATGCTATTCTCATGGAAGCTCTTAGTGCTCGTTTTGGTTTTCCCCCTGGTGTTCAGCCTTGGTGCCCGGATAAATTCACCCTATACGTTGCTCAAGTGCACAAAAGAGTTTGTTTCTTTGTGGCCGCTTTCAAGAATGACCTTTGTTTCCCTATGCACCCCTTCATCAAAAATTTTCTGCAGCACCTCAATGTCTGCCCTGCTCAGATTTCTCCTAACTTCTGAGGTGTTTTAGTGGGTCTTTTAGTTTTCTTGAAGAAGCATGGGCTTGGGACTCCCACCATTTCTCTGCTTCTAGACCTTTTCAATGTCAAGCTTACCTCAACTGAGGGCTTTCTATATGTTTCTAAGCGGACCTCGTCTATGTAGATCATCACACACCTCTCGAGTTCTCATAAAGGCTGGAAAAAGAATTTCTTTTTTGTTGGGGGTGTCAACTGGGAATGCTACCCTACTGATAAAACAGACACTCTTGGGATTCCCAGAGCCTAGTCAGCCCCAGATAACTTAGGTGAGTTCTTGCCTGACTGAACTGCGGTTTGAAGATTTATAAGTTGTTTTCCTGACCTCTACATTTTTGGTGTTCCTCCTTTCTTAGGCATTCGACCTGAACTCAATGCCGAGGCCAAAGGGTGAAGCTGAAGTTGGCTAAGTGTAATCCATAGAGGTACTCTGAGCTCCTTATGCCCTGGGAATTAGAAAGGCAGGGATTCGGCCCTCCTCTAATCCCACTTTCCTTTATCCGACCTGAGGGCGTAGAAGGTAATGTTTTTACCCTTTTTTGGCTTCATTGTTTTCCTCCATTTCTTTTTCCTTTTGACTAACCAAATTAAGTCAAATCTCTCAAGGTCTTCTACGATGAAGCCTACCCCTGAG